TTGTGATGGTGTTACGGGGCTTGCTTGTTTGTGGTTTTTATGCTTCTGAATGTTTAAGTAATGATTCTAACGGAATGGGATTATGTTTTGTTGTGATTTTGCAGAGAAGAAGGAGAAGGTTTCTGAAATAAAGTCAGGAATAGATGAGGCTGATGTTTTGGTATTATTCACAAACTTTCTTGCTTCTTTTGTGCAACGATTTTTTTCTTTGGATTTGTTGGATGGGATTTGTAAGATGATATCTAATTTTCTATTCGGGTCTTGACAGATTCGAAAAATGGACCTTGAGGCAAGAAGTTTGCAGCCAAGTGTAAAGGCCATGCTTCTTGCTAAATTACGGGAGTATAAGTCTGACCTGAATCAGTTGAAGAGGGAATTCAAAAGAGTTTCATCACCTAATACTAACCAGGTTACACGGGAGGAGTTGCTAGAGGCCGGCATGGCGGATCCACATGCGGTATGTCTGGATTGTACTAATTTCTCTTTTTCTGAATAGAAGTTTATTTAATGAGGCACTGATACTTTGGATTTCCTTTATTCTGGCGTCTGGTTATTTCTACTGTTGTTTGATTTGTCCCTTTTATATCAGAATATGCTTACACAAGCCTCTCTTTGCAGTTTGATTTTCCTGCTGCTTTACTTATGTTAGCTTTACTTATTTCTTGGTAGCTTAGAAAGGAAAACAAATTCTTTTCTTTTAATTTCAAATGGTAACTAAGGTACTTGGAAGGATAACTTAATGGTCAAAAGCCATTTGATATTGTTCATCTTGTACTCTAAATAGGATCATACAACCATCTTCTCTCTGGTGCAGCACGTCCTGCTGATTTTATTCATATTATTATATTTTTGATGGTTTTGAAAGAAACTATAATTCTTCTCTTCTGTTTTAATTTGAAGTGACTGGCTAAGGTATTGTTAGAAATTAGTTTCTTTCTCACTTCCACCTAAATGATGAATTTGTGAACCACTTAAATGTGATGCTATTTGAATATTCACACAGCAGACACCATGCAGGTTGTCTCTTGTTTAATTTCTTCAAAAGGTTTTAGTGACTGGTAGAAGTTGGTATAGGTTTCTGCTGATCAAAGAGAAAGATTGACCATGTCAGTAGAGAGACTGAATCAGTCAGGTGATAGGATAAAGGAGAGTAGAAGAACCATGCTGGAGACAGAAGAACTTGGTGTCTCAATCCTGGAAGATCTACACCAACAGCGGCAAACTCTCTTACATGCCCATAACAAGGTAAACTTAAATAATTTAGTTTAATTTATTTGGGGTTGGAAAATTATGTAAGCATTTACTTGATGGTTACCTAGTGTTACTTTGGTCAGTACCCTTTTTCCCTGAAGACATAAAACGTGAGATGAGGTTGCTGTTGAAAAGGGGCTCTAGTGGATATCATTTTCATATTCCAGTGGACAATCTTATCTAAAGTCCTTAGAGAAGAGAGTAATGAATCTAAGCAATATTTGGGATGTTAACATATTGTTTTGTCTTACATCTTTCTTTCTTGTTCTACAGCTTCATGGGGTGGATGATGCCATTGACAAGAGTAAAAAAATCTTAAGTACCATGTCCCGGAGGATTACTAGGAACAAATGGATTGTTGCTTCAGTCATTGCGGCTCTTGTTTTTGCAATCATTCTCATCTTATTTTTCAAGCTTAAGTGACACACGGATTCATCTGGATATCAAACTAGTGATTCTTTCCCCTCTTTTCTCTTTACTATTTTCTTGATGTCCATGTTCTTGTATATAGGGTGATTAACATTGTGATGGGCATGTCCCCCATTTTAGGCCATATACGGTGTATCTGCACCCCTTGCTTGTTCTGTTGTAGCATCGTTCTAGAGATAGACGTTGGCCTGTATTTCTGTTACTGCATGTAGAACCATCTTATATGTCTACCCCACTTGATGGTGGCAAAAGTCGTGGGCAATGTATTGAAGCAAGTGAGAAATAAATGATTGGATTCATTGCATCAAATTTCATGTGGATCCCTGTATTCAATATTTGGATTTATTTCATTCCTTTTTATATCAATTTTTCATCTAAGAGGTCATGTTGGATTATTTGTTCAGGTTTTATACCACAGCAGAATAGAGAACGTTCTGTGGCATAGAAAAACAGAGATAGAAAAATGGTACAGAGCTCGTACTTATCTTCACGTATTTCTATATGTTTTTCCCCTATGATTGAAATCTATGAGTAGCACATGCAACACGTTTAAAACACACACTGATAAAGATTTATCTCGAAACAAGTTTTTTTTTTTTTTAATAAAAGTTTCCAAATAAAGCTTCCCATATTTACAATTAAGTCTTTTCATTAACATTAACATATGAGTAGCACTAAAAATATACGGCTAAACATTTGATAATTGATAATTTTTAAAAGTCTACAACCAAACTTGATAAGCATGAGTTTCAAACGAGATGGTTCAATGCACTTATTAATTTAATTTATCCCATAAATAGAAGTAAAGGAAAAAAAAACATTGCAAATTAATATAAGATAATAATTAAATTTTTATACAAAGAATTAAGGGTTTAAGTTAAAAAATAATTAAATTGAAATAGTCTTATTTTGTATTTTTCTAAGTTTTGTTCTTTAGACCGAACACAAACTGAACATTTTGTTAATTGTATTTAATTAATTATTTATGAGAGAAAAAAAAAAAAAAAAAAAAAAAATTTAAGAGGCTGCTGTGTTTGACCTGAACTCTTGAGGTCCCACCGCATGCAAAAAAAAAAAAAAAAAATCCGAGATTCACATTCCAGATTCACAAAGCCATTTTTCCTTCTTCTTCCTTTGCTTGCTTGTTACCGCCCGGGCCCTGTTACACACTTCTTCACGCCTTCCCAAACAAACACCTTCTTCTTCTTCTGCATATTCAGTTGGGTGATCAAGACGAGGAAGCTACTATTACTGTTTACCTACAGTTGATAATCATGGATTCCTTGCCATCAGTCTCACCTTCCATAGTCCTGCCTCGCAGTACCCACCTCTTCTCTTCGCGACGCCGCCATCTCTCCCTCTCTTCTTCCCGTTCCATCACTGCTCTCTTCCTTCCCCGCTACTCCTCCTTGTTTCGCTCGCCTACTAGGAGGGTATCCCCGCAAGTCGTTAATTGCAAATTTAGCGGCCAGGAAGATGCCAGACAAGACGACGGAGAAGATGATAATGGAAATGAGGATATGGAAAGGGCTCTCCACTTGGACGGTACCATTCCGGGGACTCCTGATGAGTTCGTGAAGAGGGTCTCCTCCCGTGCTTACGATATGCGCAGGCATCTGCAACAGAGCTTCGATTCCAGCAGCTATGACGGTATCTATAAGTTTCCATTCTTGTTGCGATCGCTTCTTTATGTTGTACTGAATTTAATCTGCTGAATGCTAAGTAAGTGATATTCTCCTAGTTTTGTGGATAAATTACATGTTCTTATGAAATTTTTATAGGGTCTGGCCAACATCTTCAGTTGAAACCTAGTTTTTTTTCATCTTCAGTGTTATGCTCACTTAGATTTTGCAAATATTTCTGGTTTTAGATAATTTATTTGGGGATCATTAATATCCCAACTGGAACTGATTCATGTGATCTGGCTCATTTTCTCTTTCCACTCATGGATGCTATGGTGTAGTTTAAAGTCATGCTTTTCATGTTTTAGCTGTGATTGAATCTTGATCTTCACAGCTGTAGCACTAAGTTCTACATATTTCTCAACATTCACTTGAGGGCTCGTCTTCAGTATTATATAAGTAATAAATCAGGTTTTTTTCTATCAGCTTAAATTTTGGAACAGTTGATCATCCAATTCATTAATTTCACATAGTACAGTAGCTGGAAAGTCTGGGGATTAAACTTTAGGAGTCTCATGTAACAGCCCCGGAAATTCATAATGGAATGTATATTAAAAATATCAAATGCGAAAGCGAAGTCAAAAATTCGATTAACATCCCTTACACTAAAATAAAAAACGTGCTCACAATATAAAAGATCAAACTATCTAAAGGAGAAACTTGAAAGTAAAAGCTACAAATATGGCTATGGAGTCTTTAGGCGTCCCCTTCGTCGTCCTCCTGCGGAACTGGCTCGGGAACAAGATCTTCCTGATCTGAAATGATTAAATAAGAAATGAGCTACACTAGCCTAGTAAAGACATCACGATATCTCACCGTCACGGAGGTAAAGGTGGGTAGAAAACACAAAAAGACCAATGCAGCATAATTTACAACAAAACCTTTTATCAATAATAAATCCTTCACCATCCACTTATTTCGATAGAATCCATAAAATAGTGTACGAAAGCAATAACATTATCATCATCATGAAATCATATATAAACTGTATAACGTAATACTTATCAAGTCTTTCGAAATTCAATCGTTACACAATATATTTTCCTCATTTACCAGCCCACTAGTATCCATGGGGATTCATAGGGGTCCCGCTACCCGTTAACCCTTAACACTTGAAATCGTATTTCAGGGCCGTCCCCATACCCCGTCCGGTATGGGCGTCAAAACACATAAGATCTCCATACCCCGTCCGGTATGGGAGACCACAATCCCGGTAGGGTTCCCTACGGACCCGGTCCGTCCACCATCTCCCAGGATATCTAGTCAGACTGACCACATTATACAATTACCCATTTACATAATCTTTCATTCTTTTTTTTTTTCCTCAGTCAGTATCATCAATCACATACAAATAAGTAAAACGGTAATTTATGTCAAACAAACAACATACAGCATCAATATCCCAGTCATTCAATCCATAATCAATAAAACAGTAAAATATGCACACGAAACTATAAAATGAAAACATCAAATCTCATACTGCATTTAAAACTGTAAACAGGCCAAATAACAGTTAACCGACAAACACACTAGACTCGGGCTCCATTAGCGATCTTAAGCAATTTCACACATTCGTTGATTCATGAAATACTGTTTTATCATTTATTGAACTTTAAGACCGTGATAGGAAATAGAGTGAAGGGTCCTTACACGTTTCGGGGTCCGAACACGGCTTCACAGTGCGCCTACAGGCTGTCCCCAATTTTTCCTGAAATTTTCCCGGGGAATTGAAACGCATTACTGGTACCTGCACGTGTTCCAAAAAATCTCAAATTAGGCCCAGGGCCCCTTTCGGCCAATATCGCAACTCCGGCACGGCGGCTCCGCCGTGCTCCGGCGACGACGACGCCGCTTGCGGCGGCGGTTCGCCTCGAGTTGGCCGTTTTTGGCCGAATTCGGCCACACTCGCATTGGTTCCTGCGATAAAACAACCCTACGACCCTCGGGGGGCCGAAAATTTACAGAAAACCGAAGCTTACCGGTGGCGGTGCTCTCGGGTGCGGTGGCTCTCCGGTGAAGTTTGTGTTTTGGTGATTCGGCTCCGATCAACCTGTAGAGAAAAGAATGGTGATCACGGTGATATAAAAATTGCATTAAACGGAGGCCGGGAAGGGCCTCATCGGAGGCAAAAACCGAGGAGGGGCGCGGCGGCGCCGCTGGCTTTCGGCCGTGTTTTCCGGCCGTTTGGTCGGGATTTTGGCTCCGATTTGGCCACTGGGGAAATCAGCGTGGAAAAACGAGTCGGGGTATGAAATTTACCTCGATCGGCGGTCGGAAATCCCTCCGGTGCGGCGGCGGGTGGCGGCAGCTGGCTTCTGGTTCGTCTTCTCCGGCGAGGGCAGGCGACTAGGGTTTGGGGTCTGGTGTGGGGGTCTTATTTATACCTTTTTGCCTTTTGATCTCAGCCGTCCATTTTGATTTAATTTGAGCCGTCCGTACAATTAAATCTGGGCCGTCCGTGCGCGCGATTGATCTGGGCCGTCCGATAGCGCATGCGGATCGCCAACGTGGCCCGTCCCCGGTCGACATGGTTTTGCCACGTGGCAGGTCCTGGTTGGCCAGAACTGCTGACTGGGTCTGCTGACGTGGCGCGCGCGTTTTTTTTTTTTTTTTTTTTTTTCTTTCTTCTTCTTCTTCTTCCATTTCCCGGGCGCTACATCTCATCTCTATGTTTCTACTCACCCTTTTGTGTTCTTAATTATATATAATGCTTTGTAGATTTATTGATCGTGCGTTAAGCTTCTGTCCAACTTTCACATGTAATAGTATTTTGGAACATAATAAAAATTAAGTTCATATTTAGCTTGAATGTAATAAAATTTAACTTCATATATAGCTTTCTTGTGAGGTTATATGTTCAATAAGTTACAAACACTTTGGGATCTTATTAGCTAAAAACTTTTAGGGTAGTTGGTCTTGCCCGCTAATTTCATGAATGGGCAAGTAGAGGAAGCTATGAAAATTCTAAAGTAGAGAGATTGCACAGTTCTCTTTTCCCCTTTCTTTTTCTTCATTCACTTTAGCAGGGAGCACTCTAATGCTAGTATCTGTTTCTATTCCTTGGCATGTTGAACTATTTCTGGGTTCGGTTTGTTTGATGATATTGTATGATATGTTAATCTTAAGGCATAGGATTCTAGAGATAAATCGTATCATATTTATTTTCCTCCATAAAAAGCTTCACAAATTTCTTCTATTGTAATTTCAGTATTGGACGCCAACCCATGGAGAGAAGCTTCCAAGCCTGTATATGTACTAACTCAAAGAGAGAACCAGTTGTGCACAATGAAAACACGAAGAAATCGCAGGTCTGATTTGCATCTGATTTTTCCCCTCCTTAACTTAGGCTGTTTTTACCATCACTTGGACCTAAGGTTTGGGTTTTTTTATAGTGAAGTTGAAAGGGAGCTTGGGTTACTGTTTTCTAAAGGAGGGAAGCGAAGATCTGAATATGGCAACCAGGCTAAACAGTCTAGAGGAACGAAGTTCCAAATGCTTGTGGAGGACATTAGGGATGGAGTACTTGTAAGTATTTACTTGTTTGCCAGCAAAACCATTATTTGTTGAGATTTCAGCTGTGAGATAGTTCCACTTCTGCATGCACTATTTGTTAAAAATTCCTTAGGATAGAACAATTTCTCCTGAGCAAAAGTGTTGAACTTTATTGCTAGTGGATTAATTGTACCACCTTTCAATTTCTATATCAGATACTTTTACTACATCACCACGTCTTAACCACCCAAAAAAGGGTGGTATAGTGGTAGGAAGCCGCTAGAGCTGCTTGTGCTCTGGTGTTTTCCTGCCATTATGCTTTGGTTATGGTGACCTTGAGATGATCACACCAATGAGTCCCTCCAATAAGGAGTTGCCTATTACTCTCTTTACAAGGTTAATTCTGGACCTAATTGAACCACAATAGATCTCCTGAAACCATCTCTCTCTTGCTGCAGGTATTTGAAGACGAGAAGGAAGCTGCACGATACTGTGACTTACTGCAGGGAGGAGGTCAAGGTTGTGAGGGTGTCGCAGAGATTGAAGCTTCATCAGTAAGCTACCAAGTTATATGTCATTAAAATGATGCTTTTGATATTGAATTGAAGAAATGGGTGTGACTATATAATTTGTTTTGGCGCAGGTGTTTGATCTTTGCCAGAAGATGAGGGCACTTGCAGTGCTGTTTCGTAGGGGAAGGACACCTCCATTGCCTCGGAGTCTAGAGCTCAGCTTGAGAGCCCGTAAGCGGTCTCTCGAAGACTAAATGAAGCTGACTTATATCTAACACAGGAAAGAAAGATGAAAAGAAAGAAAGAAAGAAAAGAGATGCATTTGCTTCAAATTGGATCCCATTATTAGTGTAATTTATAAATTCATTTCAGACAAACTAATAAATATCTAAAAAGAAGAAAGAAATTGCAGCAATTGATTTAAGTATATTTACACGTCCTATTATTTTTATCATGTTCATTTGCCATTTGCCATTTGCCTTTTGTTTTAATTCATTATTAGAAATACAATTATTTATTCCGATTTTATAGTTATCTTGTAATTATGTTCAAATTTAATCACGCATTAGAATATAATATTTGGTGTTATTCTTAAATGACAGTTGATTTAATTTATTATTTAAATTTTAAAATAGGAGTGTAATATTCCAAAATGCTAGTGGATGATTTTAGAAGGCAATTATATTTTTATTCACAAGAAAAACAAGTTGGGTTTGCTTGCTACCCAGCGGGTCCCACGCTGGACCCCACAATCTTGACAATATCATGGAGGAACTAAGTATTAGATAATCTTGATTTTAGATATTTGTATGACTAGATCCATATAATACGGCCCCACAACGTCACACGTCATACTTGCACCAAATTAAAAATCTGAAAAAGAAAAAAAAATAGGAAACTAGTTTAGGCGCATCCATCACGGGCGAGGAGAGTAGACAAAAAATCAGATGAAGAATCTGATTCAGTTTAAAAAGTAACCGGAAGTTAACAAACACGCCAAGCTTCCATTACCTCTCTCCCTTCTTCCTTTTCCATTTCTTACTCCCAACTGTCCATAACCTATCCCCAACCAGAATCTTCTCTCTGCAGCTTCTTACGGATAATTTTGGATTCAATTTGCTACGGATCCGATCATTTTTTCATCCATGAGCTCGGGTTCCTCACCGTGCAGAGGAGGGGATTCGGGGCCCCCTTCCAAGGGATCCTCCGCCTCTGATAAGCAGAAAGAGAAGGCTAGGGTCAGCAGGACTTCTCTCATACTCTGGCACGCTCATCAAAACGACGCCGCCGCCGTCCGCAAGCTCCTCGAGGAAGATCGCTCCCTTGTTCAAGCTAGGGACTATGATATGCGCACTTCCCTCCATGTCGCCTCTCTCCATGGCTGGATCGATGTTGCAAAGTGCTTGCTCGAATACGGCGCCGATGTCAACGCCCAAGATCGCTGGAAGAATACGGTATTTCATCATCTTTCTTTAATTGATTCATCTCCTTTATTCCTCACTAAATTTCTCCTTTGTCCTCTATATGCAATAGCTAAATCTATCTCCTCTGTGTCTGTATTTTCCCATTCCATTGCTTGCTGTACCTTTACCTTTCTTCTTTGCTGTGGTTGGATTTTGGAAATAAGCGAGCAATTTATTGGATTGGCTATTCCGCTCTACGCCTAATTTGCATTTTTAGTTATTTCAAGTGCAAATTCTACTTCGATCACTAGACTTTCCCTCTCTCTTTTATCTGGAAAATTCAATCAGATAGCTTACTGCGACCATTTGCATTTCCGCCTTTCATGACAGCCGCTTGCTGATGCTGAAGGAGCCAAGAAACACGCCATGATTGAGTTGTTGAAATCATATGGTGGCTTATCTTTTGTAAGTCTGCTTCTTGATTTACTTCTCTTCGTTCTATATCTGAAAAATTATATATCTTGCAAGTTATGTGACTTAGAAATTGGGGCTTCTGTTGCTTTTGGTTTGTCCTTTCTTTCTTTACACAATTTCTTCTGTCATTATATGCTTCCTATATAGCTTCCTTGACTCTTAACATGCTAAAACATTTCACCGATCAATGTAAATGAAAGTTCAGAATCCTTTTGATCTAGTATTCATTTTGCTCCTTCACAGAGGATGTTGCACACTGAACATATATTGTGTCCTAATAACTCATTATATTATTTCTAGCATCTTTTATATGGACACGTCACCTGGTAATTAGCAGTTTTGCTGAGCAACTAACTTCTGTGGTGCCACTTCTTAGTAACTTAATCTTGTGTTCATTGTAGTTGCCATCGTTGTCTGGAAGATGTGATACTAGAGTGGGTTACCATATCAAAATGTTGATAATTGTTGATACACGTTAACATGATGGCACTTTTATTTGCAATTTTCGCTACTTCCCTTAAGAACAGAACTGTAGACTCATTTTTAGGTGTTAACAGTCATGTCACTTGTTGTGTTCTTTTATTGTTTGTACAGCCTAGGCTATATGACTATGCATTTTTGTGAAGATCCTTTTGTACCTTCTGAATTTTGCATTCTAAATTTCTAGCTGATTGCTGTTGCAGGGGCAAAATGGAAGCCATTTTGAACCAAAGCCTGTTCCGCCCCCTCTTCCAAACAAGTGTGACTGGGAAATTGACCCTTCTGAACTTGATTTCTCGAACTCAAATATTATTGGGAAGGTTTACCACTAAGTCTTTCATTCTCAATCTCAGTAAATAAAGAGCAAGCTTAGTTTTTTGGAATATCTTTATTAAATTGAACCAGGGTTTAGACAAATGCTTTTCTTTTCTTTTCTTTTTTTTTAATCTGCGATTGGAATTTAATTCAACTAGCTTATTTTGTGTTACATCTATCTGCCAAATATGTTTTTACTCATTTTTAGCTGATTCTTTTAGGGGTCTTTTGGTGAAATTTTAAAAGCATATTGGCGAGGAACTCCAGTCGCCATCAAACGGATACTTCCATCTTTGTCAGATGATAGATTGGTGATGTATGTCTATTAAGCTTCCTAAATTTTTCATACTTGCAATTTAGTTGTCTTCACTGTAACATCATAAACTGCCTTTTTTTTTTGAGTGCATAAACTGCTATTTTCACTGTAGCAGTAGGTTACTCTGGAAATTTTTGGCTCTTAGTTCACTTTCAAAGTATTTACCCATAACAAAGGACGGCTTTCTCTTCTCATGTGCTTGCACCCTGCCATTTTCAGGAAAACACTCCACTTATTGTTTTAGCTATGATCATATTCTTCTGCCTACCTCTATTCACTCTATTTAGAATGTAAAATCCTCACATTTCTTTCGCGATTCAGTCAGGACTTCAGGCATGAGGTTAATTTGCTAGTGAAGCTTCGCCACCCTAATATAGTCCAATTTCTGGGAGCTGTAACTGAGAAGAAGCCCCTTATGCTAATTACAGAATACTTACGAGGGGTATCTAAATGCATGTTTCTTTATCTTCTAAGTTTGCTAATTCACTTCTTTGTAATCTTTGAAGCCACTTTGTAGCATTTATTTTAGTTGTAGCATGTTCTTGTTGTTATAGGGTGATCTTCATCAGTATCTGAAGGAAAAAGGTGCACTTGGCCCATCAACAGCCATCAACTTTGCATTGGATATTGCAAGGTATATAAAATTTCTTGATATTCTCTTTTATCATTAGTCATATAATGCGTATTTCTTGCATGGATGGTTGTTGAAGTATTATTAATTTTTACGATACCGAGTAAAGAAAAGGGGAAAATAAGGGGAAAAAACACAATAAGAATTTTTTGACAAACTCTGTGGATCATAATAACATTGTTTGATAATTTAATGAATAATGATCACTTTAGTGCCAAAATTGGTGTATGAAACTTGTTTCTTTTGCTGCAAAGTTCTTGTAATTAGTAAAGATGACCAATTATTTTTAAAAAGTTTAAGTTGATAGGAAACAACCATATTTGTTATTTATTGAGCATATTACAGTTTCACCTCTTATTATTTGACCATTTTGCTGTTGAAACTTTGTGGTCTTTTTAATCATTTTATATAAAACTGTTAGTTTCTTAGGTTATTATCGTGCAATATTTTGGTTCCCCCATAGCCTTTATTCAGTCTTCAACTTTCACATATTTATGTTTAGAAGCGAGACACATGCACATTTTTTTTAACAGTTTTACATAAATGACAGAAAAACTAAACTACAAATTACTGAATTGTCATAAAAAAATACCTTGCTTGAACTATAATAAGACTAAATCAGTAAGTAAAAGATACTTATTATTATTTATAGTTTAATGCATCCCTTCACATTCAAACTCACTATCGGCCAAAAGTAATAAAAAGGGATAGGTCTACAGAATTGAAATAGGGTGTAGCTAGGACTTAAACTCTTAAAGTCAAAATCTAATACCATATGAACACTAGTCCCAAATGTTTAAATTAATAGAAAGTATCTTACATTATTAATTATATTTTAACATTTTTGAAGGCATGTAATATAATATTGAAAAATTACATTGTTGTTGGACAACAATGGAGCTGCACTTTCCTTTTTATATACATTTTAGGACGCATTGTTCCTTGGCTGACGTTTAGGTTTTTCCCTTTTTCTTTGTTCACTTGTGATCTGGCTGATCAGAGGTCCCATTGGTTTGGTTATTGTCCTGGTTGTAATGCTGCATTTGGGGTTTGTTCGGTTTACTGATGTTTCTGTTTCATGGGTTTTAGAGATACCTTTTTCTTTGGGTTAAGGGTGGGGAAGATATATATGGAACCCCAGTCGAATGTCACCATAACACATATCTTTTTTTTTCACTGATGTTGCAGAGGTATGGCATATCTTCATAATGAACCCAATGTCATTATTCACAGAGACCTTAAGCCG